CAACTGTTATATCGATTACAGTTATTACACCTATTACGGCAAAAATTACAACTTCTAGCATAAAAAGTTGCAACCTTAGTTAAGATTACGAACCTTATTGTGCCAAACATAAAGGCTTTGTTTTAAACTACTTTGAAAGTTAACAGTTAAGAAAAATGAATACATAACTATATCTGATATTGATATTGATATATATACGTATGTATATAAAATAAACTTTACAATCACGTTACACTTGATCTTACAAATCAATCTAGAACCCAAATTTTTATGCAAAATGATCGTTTTTGATGATTTATTAACAAAAATGTCAAAAACGTAATTTTTGTCGATCCCTATTGCACGAGTAGACAAAAAAAATTTAAAGTTACGTTTTTGATTTTTTTATTAAAAAAATCAAAAATGGACATTTTGTATGAAAAGTAATAAAAAAAGTGTTGTTAGAGTTAGCATTCTATTAGTTGCAGGTATTTATTTTTGTTACTTTAAAGAGTATACTAAAATGAACCCAACAAATATAGTTTCATTTGTGTGTATTCGCTTGTTCAAGAGTTATTGCAATCGAAATTTTATATGTTTTTACTACTTATACCACCACTAATTATAAAAAAATTTGATTAATAATTTTCACATACCTATCTAATTAAAATTTATGTTAGCACAAGGTATTTTTTAATACATCAGAACACAATGTAAGTATATTTGTTATATTACATTATAATAATATTCGTTGAAAATATAACAGCTATTTGTTTCATCATGCTTAGCATTACATGTATTCGTGTATGCATGCACAAAGTGTACTTTAGGAGTGTGGTTAATATAATCAATTGGGAAAATATAAGTTTTTTCAGATCTAATCCTATAAATTGGACATTCTAAGATTTGATTTGAAGTGTTTGTTTTTTGAAATCTATTGATTAAAAAAAAAGCATAGCTATGCCCATCATTGGCTTGGTGCACCAATATTAATTTGATTTTGGCATAATTAATGCCTTCAGAGTTTTCCTTCAATTCAATGAGATCTCCGACGTGAAGCCTCATTTTAATTGGATCTTCTTTAATGACAGTATATGCAATATAGTTATAAAATTTAACCCTTCGGTTTAATATTGCACTTCTTGAATCGAAATATTTTGCATACGCATTATAAAGATCTCGATGAAGTGAACGATTCTCATTTAATGAATTTGATAAATCTATGCTTTTTAATTGTTTGGCACTCTATTGTTTTTGTGGTATAATATTAACAATATTTTTATCTTGCAAATAGGACGTTTTATATTTTAAAATAAGTTATATTTATATAAGAAATAATCTATTTGTCACCGAAGGTGGTTATGTAGTACACCTTTTAGAATTGAATTTTGAAGTGAAAATAATTATATATAAGGGCCCAAATTTTAAAAAATACAATCAAGGTCCAAATTTATTACATAAAATTATACTTAAACATATTATTTTTTAATCAGTATTGCATTTATTCTCTTAACGCCTTTCAAGTAAAAATTATAACTATTTTTGCCAATTTTTAATGTAATTTACCTTTCTCTATGAACAAAAAATAGGCCTATTCAGCTCTAAATATCTTCGATTAATGCATAGCAACCTTCACAAAATATTGATTTGCTAGTTTGGTATAGCGATATTAATATCAATATATATCATATTTAAACTAGTCGAATTGTTTCTTAGTTAAAAGAAAGTCCATTGAACAAAAGGTAAAGTGTAAATGTATACCATATACAGTTATAATGTTCAAAGTGCCACCCACTATCATCATATAATGCAAAGTTATTTCAGCCCTTAATTGTAAAATTTTTTAAAATTTGGGTCCTAATATGTAATTATTTTCACTTTGGGTCCTAATTTGTAATTATTTTCATTTTTCGGGCTCTTATATGTAAATTCCCCATAAAATTATGCAAGTACGTAGCAATGGGAATTTCTAATTGTTAACTATATAAATCATGTTAACAATTTAATTGTTAAAATGATTTATATATAAATTCATATATAAATCATTTTAACAATTTAATTGTTAATATGATTTATATCATTAACAATTAGAAATTCCCATCGCTATATGCAAGGAATATCATTTTATGTGGCAAATAGATTTCCCTTTATATAAATAAAATAGTATTAAATAAGTTTATTTACCATTATCATTATTCTTGTCTTCATCCTCTAAATATAACACTGCATTCTCTATGGCATACCAATTTGAGAAAATGCTATTAATATGCGAATCTAAAGCAAGTTTAGAAAGTGCCGTAGTATTATTAAACCGAGGATCTATCCAACCGTCAATGATGTGCCTTAATGCCTGCATTACATTATAATGGCGTGTAAGGTCAAGTTCTATTATTTTTCGGTTTGTACATGGAACTATCCTTTTGTAAATACGGCGGACCATTTCTTTTGTCCCTACAGCCGTGTTTTTTAATGTCGCATAATTTTTGGCGTGCTGTAGGAGATGTACGTTTACGTGAAGGTTGGGCAGGTTTTTAAAACACTCGGGAAACAACTATAAAGATAATTTAATTAGAAAAACTTAAAAAAAATAATAAAATTAAAAAAATAGTTTAGTACTTAACTTGAAGAAGTAGATTATTTTCTTTTGTTAATAATTCCTGTAATTCTTGATAAATTGATTCCGTCATTACAGTTGAAAAAGCAAGCTTGAGTGCTTTTGCTTCAGTAACCCATAGAATACACAATTGTTCGATTTGTTTATTGTTATTCCATTTTTTTTAAAATACCTGCTTTGATATAATTCAATTTTAAAAAATGATGAAGAATGAATGGAATTAGTATGGTAACTTTTAAAATGTAAGAAAACATGAAACTTTGGTGATGGTGTAATGGGTTGGGCATACGCCACCAGCATGTTGGCTTTTCGATATTGTTTCAACATGCAATAAATGCATTTTCACCAGCTTTACTTAATGCATTCATTGTAATATCTAAAAAAGTGCAAGCTTTTCCTGCCATTGAGTGGTAACAGTCTTGAGGAGTTTGGATGTGACAATCCAACTTAAGCATGTTAAAGAGTCCAAAGGATATCATCCTGTAAGTTGTAGATAATCATTCTTTACACGCTTTTGATTGTTGTTGTTCAATTTCTAACAACTGCTTATCAGTGTGTTGTTGAAAGCGAGCGTGCTCAAGATAATTATAACTTAAATCAGTTTGCTGGTTATTCGTAATGTTACAAGTTCTACAATCCCGATTAGTGCCATGTTGCTTCACACCCGCAAATTCGTTACCTTAAGGCAGATCAGATGTTATACATCCAATGCCACCTACAACCCATATTTCACCATATGGGGTTAAATCAATAGAAACCAGGCAAATTTTTTTTAGCAAGTTTTTTTAAAATTTTAAACAAGAATAACTTAACAAAAACTTGATCAAATTTAATAAAAATTTTTTTAAATTAATTCTACAAGTTTGTAAAAATTATTTAAAAAAATTTTTATTAAATTTGGTCAAGTCTTTGTTAAGTTATTCTTGTTTAAAGTTATAAAAAAATTTTATTATAAAAAATTTGCTTGATTTCTATTGACTCACCCCCATATAGAGTACTCATAATTAAACCATTTTCTAAGTGTTGAATCTCTTTAATAATGGGTTGTATAAAGTCATCGAATTTAGCTCCAAATGGAACAAACCCTATCAAAAAATGATTTTTTAGTAATTTCCGATTAGAATGTGACATATTTCCGAACTGTAAATATGTACCACCTAAAGAGTGGTATACATTCCTATAAGTTCCGAAACTGTCATAATACAGATCGATAAATACTTTCAGTACAGGCATTGGTCGCAGTGGTGGTCTAATCGTGATATATTCACAAGGCAAATAATGCCTTTTGGATATATCACGATATTCCCAGCAGTTATTAAAATGATATATGATTTTCTGAATATAAAAATCATATTTTTTAGGTTCAGGTAAATCATGTAACCACACATTAATAGAGTTACAAATGTTTTCTGGATTTACAAAGGCCGAATCACTTTCTACGAGCCATAGTTCCTTGCCATTTCCATGAGTGTAGTGAGTGCAGTCTGATCTGCAATTTGGGAGATTATGATGTTGTATGAGCCGGTCCACTTTTAATTTATAACTTTTATTTATTTCTACTATGCCCCTTAAACGACATATAAATTTGGTAGATGATTCTTTATACAAAAAAAAATCATCTGGCCTATAGATTTCTAATTAGGTTCAATGTTTAAAAATTTTAATAAAAAATAAATATACAAATAAATTATATCAAACCTTTTGAATAATATCTCATACTAACCCCATTATTACATACTATTTCATGTTCACAAACAAAGGAGAATCCTGCCAAAGATCTCCGTGCCAAAATTCACATTTTTCTTCATTAACTATACCAGGCCCAAAATATAATTTAGGTATAATTTTTGGGTTATTCAATAAACGCTCCAAATGTGCCAAAGGAGATATAGTAAATGCTTTTTTAGTGGGCACAATCATAGATGGTGTTTTTTGTTGGCAGATAGGCACATCATGCTGATGTACTCTAACTAGAGGTAATCTATACCTCTATTTATGAATATGCTGAATATTTGTATCAACATCTTTGGCACGAAAGTCGGGATGTGTAATAATTTTAGCGAGATCTTCATATACACTAGTTGCTAAACAGTAAATATAAACAGATGTTGTTTTACATTACATATTAGTGCTTAAATTTGAAACTTGATCTAACTAGTTTTTTTAGTTAATTATAAATAACAATAAAGTTCCTAAATTCAAAAAGGAAATTTAAAATAATATACATATAATCTACTTACATATTGTGTGCTTGGTACTCTATATATAAAGCAGTGTCGATGTGAAATTCGAAAAGTATGAACCGTATTCTCTGTCAAACCCTCTAAATTCTGAAGATTCTTCTAAAATTTTATCTGTTGAGTTTTCCTCTACAGCATCGACCAATGGCTTATGTGAGAGACTTGGAAATACTTGCTCTAGCTCCTTTGTAAAAGAAAAAAATATGTTGGTACATATATATTAGCATATCAGCAAATTTTCGGAATTAGGTCTACATAGATTTGTAAAATGAATCCATATGTATATAAAAATAATTTAAGGAGTAATTAATAATAACAATACAAAATTAAAGTTTAATTTGTAAGCTCTATTATTGTTAATTACTCCTTAAATTATTTTTATATACATACAGATTCGTTTCAAACCCAATTCTGAAAATCTGCCGATATGATATAAATAAATATTTAAAAAATTTGAATTTCATCTATCAAAATTTCAATTTCTTCAGTTTTGCTATCAACTTCACCAGTCTCGTCAATTTCTTCTTCATCAATTTCTTCATCAATTTCTTCATCAATTTCGTCAATTTCTTCATCATTTTCATCAGCCATGACAACTTCTTCATCAATTTTGTTAATTTCTTTTCATTAGTTTCATCAATTTCATCAATTTCATTATCTGCTACTTTAATTAAACTGCATTCTTTGAAGAAACTATACTCTGAAATATCCACATCGGCAATATCTGTCATGTTAACTCTCTGTAACTGGTCTTGAGATAATTCATTTTTGTATTGCTTGGTAGTACGCAACTTCACTATATTGGTGTAGCGATAAGGATAAGCGGTTCTCTTTGATCGTTTCATAGGCAATGTAAGTAAAAGTTTTACTCTTAATTAAAATTTTATCAAATATGATAGTCAAAATTAATTATAATAGTAGAAAATATATATAGTATGTCACTAAAATTATTTTAGCATATTCTAATCTAGTTACGACATAAGCTGTAATTGTTTCGATATAATTTCGGCCACATAAATAATAAAAAGCAAGTGTAACATATTAACAATGAGTAATCTAATGTAATGTTAATATATATAATAATGGCATTATATTTTCTGGCAATATATATTTACAAACATTTTACAAGAAAATTTTTTTTCCCAAATTACTATGGCTTCTAGAAAAAAAAACACTCGTAAGTGTGTAAACAAAATAATGTATTTTAAAATTTCTTTTACAAGGTATCTTACAAGATATAAACGTTTTTTATAGAGCCTACAAAAAAGACCACATCAGTATCATCTGGACGAGTAAACCCTGTCAGAACAAGATTACAAAACACTATTTATAGAGGAACTTGCAAGTTTTATATTATTACAAGCAAGAATAGAAATCAGTGCAGATATATAAATAGTTATTTACCAATTTATAATGCCCTTTCTGTATTAATGTACATATATAGATTCTGCTTCTAAAACAAAAAAAGAAACAAAGTAGAATTAATGAACAAGGCGATGAACAAGATGAACAAGTTTGTGGAACTTCAAATAATAAACTAAATGACCAAGTTCGTGGAACTTCAAATAATGAACCAAATGACCAAGTTCGCAGAACTTCAAATAATGAACCAAATGACCAAGTTCGCAGAACTTCAAATAATGAACCAAATGACCAAGTGCGAAGAACTTCATTTAATGATCAAAGTGGCCAAGTGCGAAGAACTTCGTTTAATGATCAAAGTGACCAAGTGCAAAGAACTTCGTTTAATGATCAAGATCAAAGTGATCAAGTGTGAAGAACTTCGACTAATGATCAAGATCAAAGTGACCAAGTGCAAAGAACTTTATTTAATGATCAAGATCAAAGTGACCAAGTGCGAAGAGCTTCATTTAATGATCAAGATCAAAGTGACCAAGTGTGAAGAACTTCGTTTAATGATCAAAGTGACCAAGTGCGAAGAACTTCATTTAATAATCAAAGTGACCAATTGCGAAGAACTTCATTTAATGATCAAAGTGACCAAGTGCGAAGAACTTCGTTTAATGATCAAAGTGACTAAGTGCGAAGAACTTTGTTTAATAATCAAAGTGGCCAAGTGCGAAGAACTTTGTTTAATGATCAAAGTGACCAAGTGCGAAAAACTTCGATTAATAGTCAAAGTGATCAAAATGTTCAAGATGACCAAGTGCGAAGAATTTCAACTAATGATAAAAATGACAAAGTGCGAAGAACTGTGCAACCAATAAATGATCAAATGCAAATAGTTTCACAACAAATAGTGGAAATAGATGATGATGAGGCATCGGGTATGAATTATGTAAATAATTTAGGTAATTTCCCAAATATAATTTATTATTTGATTTATTTTAATTTATTTTACTTGCATTTGACGGTTTATTTATATTTAATTGTAGAACCTCTAAATTATACCATCAATAATGGTATTATTTTTATATATTAAACTTGTACATGGGTCGAGTTTCGAATATATTGTTAAATAAACTAACTTCTTCTAGTAAATAATTCTGGTTTCCTTGAAGAGTTATTGCCCTCAAATTCTAGAGTTGGAGGTTTGGCATCAACACAATTTCATATACAGCAATAGAAACGCCGATGATCACAACTAAGCGTAAGTATTACTGGAGGAAAGATTATGTTTATCTTGTTATATTTCAAAAATTTATTATACACTTACTTATTTCCAATCATTGAATTCTAATAGATAATCAAAACAACTTAAAGAAACATAATTTATCTCAAAATGCTTCTTTGTCACTTCGCAATACATCTAATGAACTAATGAATTAGAAAATGCTCTATGGGTGGCTCATCACCCCCAAAGTCCTAAGTTTAGCCATTAGTATTCGTGAAGCAATATCAAATGAAGTACCACACAATGGTAATAATGTCCTCAAATATTACCTATTCATATAATTCAATACAAAATCCTCCAGAAATCAATCAGGTAAAATTTAGGATTATTAATAAACTACAGGTACAACATTCATGTGTTTATGTGCATAACAATGACTAGCATTACTATAATACTCCTACCCTAATGTTAATTCTAACCCTAACCCTGGCCAATGTTATATACTTAAGTCCTCGTGAATATCATACCCGTATCTTTTTCAATAAATACTGTATAAACTTATATAATACCTTAATATTAGCATTATAGGTATCAGTTACAAGAGAAATGTAAGGCACTTTTTCTCAGAACTCAAAACAATACAAGTGCATTATATGAGGAACTAATAATGAAAGTATGCAATATTTCAAAGGGTGATCATCGTATGGCAGCATTGGTAAAGGATGTGGGTGGCTGGTATAATTCGTATCGCTATAAATTGCATGTTGCTATTTTGCAACTTGCAGAAGAATTCTCTAAAACACATCAATGGTAGTTACTTCAGAAATAATTATACATTTCACACGGACCTGAAAACTTTTAATATTATTGATCAATTTTAGGGATGGGGAAGAGCCGCCCATGATTGAAATAGAATTATTTGTTAGCGAAAATGTATGGCGACAAGCACTCCATTTTTATTTGAAAGCTACGGACTTTCCAACTTTGAATAAAGATACTGAAATACTTGCGAAACTCGGCACTTTTATACGTAAAATGGTTAATGATGTTCTTAAGGACCAAAAGAGAGACGAAGATACACAACATTTGATCAAAAAATACAATGAGTATACTCTTGAATTAAAAATACCAACAAAGCTTAGTATAGCAAAATTTTTGCAAGTTAGAGATCTTTTAGATTGTTAAGCTTTCTTTTTATAAAATATTATGTTTTAGTTGATAATATCAAATGTAAATAAGATAAAATTGTAATCCAAAAAGGAATATTGCAAAATTTAGATGCTATTGTTTTAATTTAGTTAAACTTCTTTATGTTTTTTGTTGGTGTTAAACACGTCTCAGTTTTTAGCATTTTCTTTATTACCGTATAGTCGCGAAATAACGCACAGGGTATAATTTCGAATTTCGGTCTAAATTAAACTTAATTCAGGCAGAAATTCGAAATTACACCCTCCATTATTTCGCGACTATACGGTATTTTTCTCTATATTCAAGCTTCTTATAAGTTTTTTTTTAAGTGCCTATTTTGGCAGTTTGAGCAGGAAATAATAGATAACGATTCGATTGAAGAGCTGATAATTGATAAACCTAATAATGAACAGATATAAGATAAAATCGATAAGCAAAATAATCCATTCTTGAAATACATTAATACATTAATGATGAATTGAATGCACTTGATGATTTTCTTGAGCAACAATCCATATATGATAACAATATGGTGAAGATGACAGTGTATTCTATGACTTCCAGTATAATTCACTAGAGAGCAAAAGAATGGAAAATCGTTTTAATACATATTTCGAATCATTGGACAACAAATTCTCAAAAAATTTAAATTATAGTTTTTTTCCCAGCGTTCTGGATCATTTTTTTAATAGTTATTATTGCACTTATCTCTAAAAATAATAGCCTAAACCTGAAATTTCTGTTATTGTCGATGTACTAGCTAAGTCATGGAGGAAATAAATATTACTATTTTTCGAATTTTTGAACTTATAAAGGCATGTATTTTATTGGGATCCAATCATCTCACCAACAAGTTCATTTCACTAAAGCTCTTTTTACAGACAAAGTAATTCTGGTCAATATTATTAGGGTTAGGTTAGAATTAGAACTAAAGTTAGTGTAATTTATAAAAAAAAAACTTGTTAATGAAATGAGCTTCGGTGATATAGACTGTCGGTAAAATGGAACTTGTCGATGAATAATTTTCAGCAAAATGTCTATGAAGTGATTGTTGGTGAAATAATACAGACCAATTTTATTAGGGTAACACTGAAATGGACTCAAATAGGAAGAAACGAGCACGCATTACAAAAAAAAGTTTAAAGAAAAAAAAAAAGAAGTTAAAAGAACAAAAGAGCAAGAAAAAACATATATTTTTTTTTTGTTTATTTGCATCGTTCAGTGGGTCAAAATTGTTGCATCAAGTATTAATTGCTGGAATTTCAAAATTTTCATGAGCAAGTTTGCCGGAATTATTTTTTAATTTCATATTAGTATGGCATGGAAGCCGGATCATCGACAATCACTTCGTAGATACCACATTTCACCGGTAAGTTCATTTTACCGACAGTCTATTTCACCGAAGCTCATTTCGCTGACAAGTTTTTTTTTTATAAATTACACTAACTTTAGTTCTAATTCTAACCTAATCTAACCTAATGATATTGACAGAATTACTTTGTAAAAAGAGCTTCAGTGAAATGAACTCGCCGATAAGTAATTGTCAGTGAGCTGATCGGATCCCATGAGAGCCAACCGGCCTGCTAGTTCAAGTATTTAAAATAAGATATTCAAGTATACAAACATTTACTATTTAATTTCATTTCATTTCATTTCAAGTCAAGATATCGATAATTCAATTATAAAACGATCAAACACCCAATCACATGTAAGTATAAAGTTTCTTTTACAAGATTTGGATATATTATCATTTTAAAATCTCTAACAGACCAGATGTAGCACATAGGTACACAAGTCGAAAGATAAAAAATCAGGCACAAATCAGGTACCCGATTTTAAACTGATTACTACCTGATTACCACCTGATTTATGCATATTTTTGTACCAAAAATTTGGTACAAAAATATGCATAAATTAGGTGGTAATCAGGTAGTAATCAGTTTAAAATCGGGTACCTGATTTGTGTCTGATTTTTTATCTTTCAACCTGTGTAGCCCTCTGAAAAATTTAATATTTCAAAGTATAATATTATTAAACTTAATAAAGTAGAGGCAAGACTGCCAAAATTAAAAAATAAAATAAAATAAAGAAAATCTGTAATAAAGAAGTTAAAAGAAATAGAAGACTAAATACAAAAATAGGAGTCAAAACAGAGTTTAAAAAATGAGCAGATAGTGTTTTAAGTAATGAAAAAAAAGTTTATACAGAGATTAAAGAAATTGAGAATGTTATGTATAGTAGAAAGTTTTAGTAAAATTTAGTTTTTAAATATATCAAGTTTTAATAAAATTCAAAGTTGTTAATTAAATATATAATATTAATAAAATTGTAAAATTTTAAAATAATAATATAGTTAATTAATATAAGAAAATTGTAAAATTTTAAAATAGTACTTTGCAAAACCTACTATTTTTTAATGAAACCATTATGAGATCATTGTGAAATTGGCACAAACTTTTTATATAATAAAATAAAATCATTACATAATTGATTCATAGCAGTTACAGTAAACTTAACTATTTTGTAATAATTTAATAACAATATTATAAATAAATATGTTTATAATTAATTTATAATTTAGTTACTGCAATATTACAAAGTTATAAAATGCTATAATGATTAATTCAAATTTAAATAAATCATTACAGTTCCAGTACAATTATATAATTGTCTCAATTTAATATTATACTAATTTATTTATTTTTAAGTTATTTTTTATTTATAATAATCAATATACATATTTATTTAATATTAAAATATAATAATTAACCATATTAATCTCTTTCTAAAGATTATCTAAACAAAATTAAAGCAGAAGAAAATCTGAAAATAAAACAAAATTCTACTAAGTCTATAAGTAAAGTAGCTTTAAACAAAAAGATAGAGTAGAAAAAACTAGATATAGTTACTTAGTTGGACTTCTTTCTCCACAAAACTGGGCTACATATACATAAAAAGAAATAAATTTTTTGTTAAAGTTCTTTATAGAAACTAGCTATTTTTTTTTTAATAGAGTTAAGATTATCTTAACAATATTAATAAATTTATTAATAATTAGTAAAAATTTTAAAATTGTTCTAAAATTATTTTAAGGTTATTATTTAATATTAGAATATTTTTAATTTATAGGTGATTATCACCTGTAAACAATTTGCCAATTAAAATTCAGGATTAGGTGTAATATGTAAATCAATTTTGTATAACAAAAACAATAAATTTTTTAAAAAACTACTATAACTTAAAATTTTGTCTATGAAATCATCTTTTAAGCTCTAATAAAAAAAATTTCTTGGCAAATTTTACTATATATAAAGCTCTACCCTAATTACTAACCCTAATCTCTAACTCTTACCCTTACTCTTATTTTAAAGAAATTAATTTTTGTTTTGCTAAAAATTAATTGTTTTTGTTTATATTGTAGATTACAGGTGATAATCACCTGTGGTAAATATTAGTTAATTTCTTAATATTATTATAAAATTATTATAAAATTATTATAAGATTATTATAAAATTATTATAAAATAATAATAAGATTGAGGTGTGGCAACTTAGTGTAGTGGTCTAGTTGTCACTTTCTCCAAGCGGCAGGTCTAGAGTTCGAATCCCATAAATGATGATTTTGAAAAATAGATCTGTGTTACAGTTAACAGTTATCGATTATTAGTTGGATCTTAATCTGTAATCTCGGTCATACTATCTAGTAATAGAAGCTTTGGCGCAATAAATCTGAGGAACCAAAATAACTGAAAACCTATTTGGCAAGTTCTGAGTTGGAATGTAGCAATAATCTTTGATGGTACTACAGGAGGGCTGAATTTGAACCAGAGCTCGAGATCAGAAAACCAAGTGATCAGGTCCTTAAGTGGGGAATATACTAGCTGAACTGCCAGGCTGACGCACCGGAGAAAAGGGGCATACACTCCGAAAGTATGAACCAAGAGGAGGGCATACTTCAGATACTTAAAGCCTGAGCAGACCAACCCATCCAAGTTGCTGGCTAGAAGTAAGGGAGTGACCAATAAAAAATCCAGGTAAGAAGACGGTTCCAAATATGGGTACTTGGGTTGTTAGGAACCTTACAAGGGCAGTGAGTACGCAATAAGTGACTAATTAGAAAGGTTGTGCTTGAAATATGGATCAGGTTGCAGCAGCACCCCAAAAGTTGGCTTGAGATACAAACCTGGTAGCAGCAGTACAGCATGTACTAGTTAGATAAGAAGTTACCGAACATGCAGTTAAAAACATGTATAGGACATGGACTACTCTGTTAGGTTTACCTCATGAATAGACTAGCTCAATATAGGTTAGTAAGTCCTAAGGTGGGTGCGAAATCTAAAGGTGTTGCAAAATCTACTTCTGAATAGTAAGTTACACCTAGGTTAAGTGGAATTAACTGGCGGCTATAACCAGAGGGTTTAAATGGATACCCCCCTAGTTGGGATGCAGGTACGGCAAATAGTATAGAATCTTCAGGTGGACTACTTAAATTAGGCATCCAAAAGGTGCACGTGTGGCTTGATATATCCTCATTGTAACTGTATAATGTTAATTTTTACTTAATAAAAAGTTCTCTAGGCCATAGAGGTCACTTTAATACTAAAAAAAAAAAATTGATAATAAGATTATTATATAATAATTATATAATAATTATAAAATTATTTTAAAATAGAAAATTTCTTAATTTACACATAGTGTACGTACAAGGGTTACACAATGTAGATTGCATAAATAATATAATATATACATGTAATATATAGCATAATATATAACGATAATATTATACATAGAACATTTTAAGCTCCGACTATAGATAACATCGATATGATGTAATTCTTGCATATTATTGATGTAATAATGTAAATAAAGTGATCAAAACAATAATTCACTTTTTTTCACTTATAGTTTCTTTAGTTTGTAACTATAAAATCGTAATCTTTGTCGTTTGTAATATCGTGAGTTCCGTCGTAATTTCGTGAGTTCTGTCGTTATATCTAAACTAGAACTTGTTTATCGTTAGTGTGAAAATATTACGAACAGATCAGACCAATGAATATTAACAAGGAACCATTATAAACGTGCCTTATATGGAACCAGACACAAATGTAATCAATATATTTTAGCATGACAAATACTCATTACTGCTTAGTATTAAACTACATTTTACATTTTTTAGCATTTGTCCTTACCTGAACCATCAGAAAATCTTATACCTCTGGAGCCAACCAACTTTGTATATTTTTTTTTGCTTGTATTGATTATTTGTTGCACAGTGCTAAAACTTTATATTATAATTCTTTTAGTATCTATCATTATCAGTACAGTCACTACCACTTTTGGAAACAACTGATATTAATCTGTTACTCCCTGTAAGATCAACTTATATTACTTTTCTGTTTGTATTTGATCATCTTTTATGCACAGTGCTGAAAATTATTCTTTATAGTATTCATCCTTACTAGCACAGTTGCAGGACCTTATGCAATTACTTCTGAAAATAGCTGATACCAATCTGCCACTTTCTGTAAGAACGATTCTGCATTTTTTTTTTTATTAATAATCATTCTTTGCTGTGCAAAACAGGTTTTTTTTGTTTGTTTGTTTATGCGTATTGATCATTATTTGCCTATTCTTTACAGTATTTATCCTTATTTGTACAATCACAGGTGTATCCAGAAATAGCTAATGTCAATTTGTTATTTTTTGTAAATTCCACTACGTTCTTTTTTTTTGTATGTATTGATCATTCTTAATAACAATGCTAAAACTTATATTCTGTTCTTTACAGTATTCATCCTTATCAATGCAGTCTCAGGATTTTATACCCACTCTACCTTTGGAGATAGCTAATAATAATCTGTCTTTTCCTATAAATTTCTTATTTTTTTTGCATTAATCATCCTTTATTACAGTGCTAAAGCTTGTATTTTTTATAGTATTCATCTTTAGTACAATCACCTGCACTTCTGGATTCAACTTACGCCAATTTTTCAAACAATTTGTCATTTTTGGTAAGATCAGATTTTATATATGTACGTTTGATTCTGCATTGACTATTCTTAGTAATTTTTTAATTTTAAAGACTAACTTTAGTAATGATCATCAGCTATCTATCGAAAGTGAACAAAGGTCACTGGAGGAAAGAGATAATGAAATTGGATTTCTGATACAGATTTAGAGGAAAATGAGGATCAAGATAATTTAGAAAACACTTTAGAATTAAGAATCGAACTTACGTTTAAAACTTGAACAGAATTTAAGACTTGAATAGATAGTTTTTCAAAAAAAAAAGAGGTTAGTTATAGGATTAGAGCTAGCCAGAAGGATGATAACATATTACGACGTGTTACTTATGAATGCTCAAGGTCAGGTACACACAACCCACAAGTAACCTGTAATCCTACTAAACGACAAAATGCAATTTCACAATAGATAGAATGCTTTTGGAGACTTAATGTTACTTATCCCAAAACAAATAATATTTTGAGTATCACTTTATTTGAAAATAGTCATAACCATGAGCTTACTCCAAGTGTATATGAAACAGCTCCAAGATTTAGAAAATTAACTCCAGAAATGCTGTCTGATATAGAAAAATATGTTATACAAGGCAGAATAGATTCTGCGTCTATTTATCCTTTACTCAAACATGATTATCCAGACAATCCTATCTTTAAAAAAGATCTATACAATGCGGTATATCAATTTCGGGCAAAAAATAACCCAGGCGATTTAGATGCATCTCAAATGCTTCAAATGCTATTAAGTTGGAAGGAATCAGACCTCTTATGGGTAGTTAAACCTCACTTAGAGCCTTTGTCTAGAAGGTTAAACAGACTGCTATGGATATCTCCTTCACAACGATCTTTATATGAAAATTTTCATGATGTAGTAATCATTGATACTACATCAAACACAAATTGTTTTCAGATGATGCTTTGTGTTTTTATTGTTATTAATAATCATTTTAAATCAAGAATATAGCTTCTGCTATTATAGATGATGAAACTCTGACACTTTACAATGGATTTTTACTACTATATTTGAGGAACGAACATCAATCCTGAAGTTATATTTACTGATTCTGATCCATCGTTGATTAGTGCGATTAGGGAAATACATTCTAATACTAACTATTTATTATGTATTTTTCATATTGACCTGAATCTTCATAAGAAAGTTAAGTGCAAATTGAGATCTCGTTTTGAAGAATTTTGGCAAAAGTTTTACTCTTGCCAAAATTCTTTGTGTAGTGAGTTATTTGAAAGTCGGTGGTTTCATTTGATCGATCAATATCCTGAAGCAGCAAAATATATGTCAGAAACTCTTTATATTAACAAAGAGTCTTGGGCTATACCATGGGTACACAATCAGTTTACGGCTGGCGTCCAAAGCACGCAAAGAATAGAATCAATCAACAAGCAAATACATGATAGAATAGACTGGGCTACTTCTTTATACAACCTGTTAGTTAACATTAATAATTATGTTAGAAATGAAGAGCATTTTGAGAAATTCAAAGTTGAACGCAGTATGCTGCCAACAGTTGGGTTGCCAACATTAAATACCAGGCTTTTTGGACAAGTAGATAATGTAATTAAGCAATTCTTAATACCAATAATACTGGAAAAGCAATGTTTGCAAATGAATCAGTCGGTATGCTATGACGTTAATTGCATCATAGAATAGCAAAAATTAGTAGAGGAAAGTTTTTTTTTTTTTATGTTTAACATAGATATTCATGTAACAATAGTTTGCTTTTTTTTTATAGACTGATAATGACGATGAAGAGTTCAATATCGAGCTTTGGGAACAGGAACAAGACATTCGTCAAGTTCTTTTTAAATCACTTATTAAAAATGTTGTACAAGAAGATATTTTAGAGGTGTGAAACGTTTGCGCTACTGGAAAAGCAGATATTGGGAACTATGTAATTTTGTTAAATGATGGTATACATTTATGTACATGTCTCTTATTACTGAACAAAGAGCTATTATACTGACATTTTTTTGGGTCTCAACTTATTCTCAAGCGGCAGTTTTTCATATAACCCTTATTTCATCTTGGTGGTATTTGGAGCCTAATATAAATCAAGAAATACTTCACAACAAATAGCTATTAAAGTGTGCTGTACAATTTGATCAGAAGATGGTCTATCTAACGTTACATTTAAATTTTTTTTTCAATTCGATTAGCTTCACACAAGTCTCTTTCAGCAAAAAAACTACCAAAAGTGTGTATGCAGAATTATTTGAATTGTCCAAAAAGGCTATTGATCTGGCTATCAGATCCGACATATCACATGAGCTATTTGATTCTCTTAAGTTATTTTTATATGATTTACAGAATAAGGACCAACAGACAGATGATAATGATAATCAGATAGTTGTCATCAATAATCCCAGTATCATCAAGCATAGAGGACGACCACCAAAATGTTTAAAGTCTAGAGATGAACGGGTATTAAAAGATAGCACAAATATTAATATAAATAACGAGAGTGCAGATATAATAGAAAGTGGCAGCAGTGGTGACCTAAATAATACGAATAATTCAAAAAGTCGTATATGTGAAAAATGCAGAAAATATAGCCATTATGCCAAAACATGTCAAGCATAATCTGTTGAGTTAGGCTTTTTTCATTATAGCAATTTAGTGCAATGTTTTGATAGTTTTATGTTTGTAGATTATGTAAATAGAATGAAATGAAGTTACATATCACATTACAATTAAAGGTCTAAAATATAAAATAAATGAGTATTATTGAATTGAAATAATGAAATAATCAAAATTTTTTCATTTATTATCTTGGTTGCAAAACTGTTTTTATGTTCGTATTAGAAATGAAATCGATTCTGTCATGGCATTCTAATTTCAACAGTTTGTATTATAAAACCATAATGAATTCAATTTAGGTGAGTATAGATTAATTTTTTTATTATTTTATTAATTTTAAAACTTTCTATTCTTAGCAATCGCAAATAATAAGAATTATAGTTTCTCTTGGCGGCATTCATATAACAATTACAATTTCTATCGAGAATAGTTTCAAAGATTAATGTGAATAGGTAAGTTAGTTAAAGGGTCTTTATGATTGATATTGACATAATAATTTATTTACCATCATGAAGTTGATTATTTAGGATCTAATACTTCTCAAATAATTTTTTACAAACTGCAATTTAAAAACTTCATGCTGGTAAGATATAATATTTGTATGTTTAGAAATAGTATAGAATAAATGTGCCAAAAGTAAATCGCTATACTTTTTTATTAATGCGCTTAAGGGTTGAATCTTTATCAGGAGTCTGGGCACTTTTTAGTTATGAGTAATATGTTCGAATAAGCTCTTTTGGCTTTATGGTTGAGATTCCGATTAGGATTTATTACTACTAAGACTTTAAAAGATCATTTGTTATTACATTATCAACATTTTTTATTGGCACTTTTAATACTAGTTTTTTACTATTTTTCTTTGATGATTTTATGCATCTTCGATTGGTATTTTTTTATGCGATATCTTGGTTTAAATTAAAATTTATATTGTGTAACAATATATGCTTAGTATATACGTATATTAATCAAATATATATAAAAAATATATACAAAACTATATACTCATGTGATGTGTGTAAATACACATAGTGTACGAATAGAAATCATCTTTAAAATAATATATTATAAAATTATTATATGATTATTATAAGATTACTATAAGATAATTATAAAATAATTTTAAAATAATTATATAGTAAAATTATTATAAAATTATTATAAGATTATTATAAAATTATTATAAAATTATTATAAGATACAATTTTAATAATTGTATTAATATCGTTAAGATGATCTTAACTCCATTGAAAAAAAATAGCTAGTTTCTGTAAAGTTTTAGAAAATTTTTTGAAAAATTTGGAGATTTGTCTAGACCCTGTGTTGCAGATCACCTAACAACAAAACAAACAAATGCAAATTAAAAAAGAAAATAAATAACTAAAATAAAAGTAAACAAACAATACTAACAAAACAAACAAACATAACACGTGTAGACAATCACTGATGTATACAATCTAGAAAATTAAAAAAATAAATAGACACAACATGTGGATTTATTGCTCTAGAAAGTTCAACCAAATTTACAACAACATCTATAGATAAGCAAATAGCAAAATTATAAAGATAGACGCAATTAAAAATTTGACAATAGCACCACAAGAAAGAGTAAAAGAAATTTATACAGAGCAAAGAAAAATTATGCTCAAAGCAGATATAAATATAGCAAAGTATTTTGGCTTCAAAAAACCAAAATTTACTACAACAATAAGAAGTACAATAGACTGCTATAGCTAGTTACAAATGCAAAAAAATCAAGGCAAAGTACTCATGACAAAAGATTTGATTTTTTTGAAATAACAGAAATTTCAACATGTGCAAAAATAGAAAAAGCAGTACAAACTTGTAATAATCAAACTACTTTTACCGAGATGAATATCGACATATTAAAAAATAAAATTTTGCAAAAGCCAGAAAATTTTTAAAAAAAAGAGAGATAGATAACAATATAAAAAAGCCAGAAGCCAAAAACAAAGAAGAAGAGCCTGTTAAAATTAGACTAGTGGAAATGAACTTGAATAAAAGTGAATCAGATATATTAAAAGAGGACAACATAGCAAATACAGAAGAAAAAGCAGCTCTTATATATACAAAATGTTGGCAAGCAGATTATGGCACAAAAAAAGCCACAGAATAGGTCTTATTATTTAAGAGAAAAGAGCTATTAAATGAGAATAGGAAAAATATATCTAAGGAAAAAAAGAAGAAGATATTCATAGTTTAATGTGGGCCCTAAAAAGAAATTTAATATATGACAAAAGAGTATTAAATAATATAAAAAATTTTTATAAAGATAAAAAAAAAATTGCAGCATTTTTTACTATCTAGAACTTACTCAATCAACAAACACATTGAGAATTAATAAATATATTAATATCATAAAGTAGCAAAAATACTTAAGTAGTGTAATTTCAAACAAACCAGAGCTGTATATATAAAGGTATCCTTTGTGAATAAGAAAAAGAACAATTGTTGAAGAAGGCATAAGCATTTCCTTTTAAAGAAAAAAAACAAGTAGATTTATACAAAGAAAATTTGATTTGGAAGAGTTAGAAAGCAGAAAGA